ATATGTATGTATGTATTTTGATAATGGCTTGAAAATGCTTTAGCCACAGTGCTTGCAAAAAAGAAAGTGGCTTTATGAACACATACTACAAATTAAACGGTGAGAGGCCATTCAAAAGCTGATAAATAAGCTACCCAAATTTGCGGCAAATTTGCTTCGATTCATTTATTGGCATTTTAGTTAGGGCTTTCCAAAACTTATTTTTTTCATTTTTACTTTGTTACGGTGGTTTTTTTCTCTATTATATACATACATATTTCTTCTACTGGTGTCTCTACATTCGTCTACAAAATTTGACTAGCGTTAATTTGCAAAAGTGAACAACTTGGGTTTTCTTTTCACTAAGTAAATATGTATGTATGTAAAATATACATAAATACATGGGTATATGTTTACAAATGTAAATAAGTATATGCATACATATGCACAAATGTTTTTATGCGACTCTTATCATCCGTCCATTCGTCTCTTTTACTGTCTGAACCGTTAATATGCTTAATTTTTATTAAAGCTCAGCTCAGTGAAATATCCGGTTTGTTTTTAACATAATTTTGTTGTTGCTCTCGCCTTCTGTATTGTTAAAGTAGCAAGTGCACACATACATAAATAGCTAATAACAGCGATTTAGATCAAAATTTTGCGACAGCAGAGGTTAGGCTCCTCAAAGAAATGTTTGAATGATAAAAATATTCCCACTTAATATATGTAAGCACATCCAAACGTACACACATATGTAAATACCTGCATATGCACAAATGAATTAATGCACGCAAGTAGGTAAGTATGTATGTATATTTGTAATTTTCGCAAGAGCATACTAGAATTACTTCATTGGATATGAAGAACGAATAGCAAATTGAGTTAGAGGACAGCAGGAAGTAATTTCCTTAGATTATATTTAATTTTGTTTATAACCATGTGCTATTTTATACATACTATGTATGTATTTCACGTCTTTCTTTTACAACTGATTTCATTACTCATTTTTGCACTTCGTCGGCGCTTTTTTTTCTGAGTGCTTGTTAGCCGACGTAATCGATAAAATTCACATGTGGAGGCGAGTGAAAAAAATCCAACAGGAAAATTTTCTCCAATTAGATTTTAACTTTACGTCCTTCCAAATTCACACACGTTCACACAATTTGTTAGCTCACATTTTAGATTTCACACTGGGTATACTCCTTGCGCAGTTTGTAATTTAATCCATGCACAAGAATTTTAATTCGAACACTTGTGAATATTTACTTTTTATAAAGTTAATAAATTGAACTCTTCTTCAACGCGTTCCAACACTTTCCCCAATTTTTCTACTGCTTCGGCAGCCGGGTCTGACAAACTGACAGCAAATTCGTTGGAGCTCTACTGAAATACCCCAAGTAGTGTTGCCGAGTCGCTGTAATTTTCTACTACGTTTTCATTTGTGGAACTTAAGACTGAAAGGAGTGTGTCTTAGGTAGGCTGCTTAATGAAAAATTAACTTAAATTCCTTTTATCTATACATTTTAAATTTTAGAAATGCCTTATTACTTTCAATAGGTTACTGTTGTATTAATTAAAACTGGCAGTAGATAATTTAATCCATTCCGAAAAAGGTATACCCTTACTGCAAAGACGCTAAAAGGAAACTACTGTTTATTTTGTTTTTTTTTTTTATGGCATAAATAAATACGGAGGTTTGCCATTGCCTGCACAGGAGTGACCGCTGTTGAGAAAAATCATTTTTCTATATTCTTTTGCGATGTTGCTTAGACCAGGCCTTGAACCCAGGACCTGCGGAGTGGTAAATCACCAGCTATAGTACTTCCAAATCATTGCTTTCCTACATCAATTACTTAATTTGAGATATTCATGGCACATGCCATGGGTTAATTTCCTTCAATGTGACAGCCCACATAAACAGCTGTTTTTGGCAGCCGATTATTCAATAGGCTTGCGGGTATTTCACGTTCAGTTGTCATACGTGGAAATAGAAAAAAGTTTTTTAATACAATTTTGAATAAAACTAATGTTAAGTATATAAATTAAATATGATATTCGTTCGTACAGTTCTATCATGTCGATGTTCACTAATTTCCATCGCACGGCATGGTTGCAATAGTGTGACATCAACAAGAAGCAGCATAAATGGACGCTTTTTGGCCACTTTCAGCCGCTCAAAGGCACCAGCACTCACACTTGTCGCACAACAGCATCGTCCATATGCGTCTACCACAAGTGCAGCAAGCAGTCCCAATGAGTCAGGTGACATACGTGTCTACTATGGCAGTTTAGCGCCAAGAATGAAAGCTGTGAAGTTGTTTTCACTTACAACCAGCTTGGCAGGAATGGCTGCACAGCCGGTTCTAATGGAACAAGGTTTGAAAATGGGTGGCACCCCAATGGCTGTATTTCTGTGCGGTTTCGCCGGCTTCTTTACATTTGTAACGCCGCTTTTACTGCACTTTGTTACAAAAAAGTATGTAACTGAAATTCATTACAATCCACAAGCCGATGAATATACGGCGACAACGATTTCAATTATCCTTTATCAGATAAAGGTATGTAGTAATATAAATTTCTGTAAGATAATACTTTTGTTATTATTTTTTACTTTCAGACGAAATTCAAGACCAGCGATGTTAAGGTGCCTGAAGTGCCTGGTATGTTTACCTCCTTCTTAGTGCATGACAAACCATTGTTTGTTGATCCCTCACTGTTTGAGGATCCTGAGCATTATGTGCGTATCATGGGATACGATAAGCCAGTGGATTTTAAATTAGAACTATCCGAAAGTGCAGCTAAATCAGCAGAAACGGTTAAGAAGTAGCAATAAATCGGTTGTTGCTAAAACGTATTAGAATAATTATTAAAGTTACAAATTAGCAGACGAATATGTTCGTCTAAATTATTTTTTATCTAACAAGGTTTCTTTAATACAAAACGAAATAAAAGCAGCCTTTTTAATTTTACTTGTTCCCAAAAAATATTTCCTGTTAAAATTTCATGGACTACTATTCAATCAGTGTAATACTTAAATGATGGAATTTCCACTCGGATTGCTTATAGTCGAAAAAAAATATAATATATATATTAAAGAATGTTTAAATATTTGTTTTAATTTAACCTGTTTCTGCCAGCAGAACTTTCCATTGTCTCTCAAAACATAGAAATCATTTATTCCATACGCTACACTGGCATTAAAAGCACCTATTACTAGTTCTAAAGCCGCAGCCAGCTGATTTTGTTTACCTGCTGGGCAAATAAGTAAAATCCCAAGAGCGGCGTGTTTTTGTAATAAAATTAATATTTAAGAAAAAGTGAACTTAATATACTGAAAATCATGTCCAATAATGAACTTAAAATATATTTAGAATTTAGGTAAGCAGTCTAAATTCTTTATACAGTTACTGGAATCAATAATATACTTATTTATAATTTTGTAAACTCTTAGTGCAGGCGCCGAGTTGCTGTTTGGAAACATTAAGCGGCGGCAAGTAACATTGAAGGGCGATGAAAAATGTAAGCTAACAACAATAATTACATACTATTTTTACATGGAATATAACAATTCCTTTTATAAGGGACCATACGTAAGCTGCTTAAGTGGATGCACGCAAACATTTTAACAGAGCGGCCGGAATTATTCATTCAAGATGATTCAGTGTAAGTGCCTCGTTTGTTTGGTATACATATATGTATTTCCGAAAGTATGTAGCTTAGGATGTGGATTAATTTATGTACATACTTACATCTATATTTATAACTTCACTGCTAATATTGGAAATTATACTTGACATTCCCTTTCCATGAGCAGGCGACCCGGCATTTTGGTGCTAGTAAACGATACCGATTGGGAACTACTGGTAAGCAATTTTTTAAAGAGGATATTACGTTTATGTTGTTTTAAATTTAATTTAGCATTTACTTTGCTTGTAGGGCGAGCTTGATTATGAGATTCAACCTAATGACAACGTTCTATTCATTTCCACACTGCATGGCGGATAGTTGGAGGCAACAAATAGCTTAAACGGGCTTAAACTTAAATATTTTTACTTTTTTAACAAGGTTAAACTACTACTATGTACTAGTTCATCAAATAAATTCGAAATAATTAAGATGTATTAAAAAATATACACTATTTCGTCAAATATGGGATTTCTTACAAAAATTTCCTTTCGGTTTGCGCATTAGCTACATGAATGGGGTGTGTATGTATTCGCTAAATGAATTATATGAAAAAACAGCACATTGGGTAGCTGTTTTAGCTACGCAACAGTGGTGCATTATCGTCGCGCGCTGCTGTTTTAAACTACAAGTCGCGGGTTCGAATACCAGTCGGCGCCCCAATGTTTATTTATAATTGACGTAGTGTGCAGTTTTTATGATGTAAGAATTTTATCCCGAATTGTCATGTGGGCCTTTACCGTTCGCGGTGAAGGGACGTAATGCTGATAAAACTGCACTTTTTTATAATTAAAAAAAAAATAAACTTTTTAAAATAATAACTAAGGTTTAAACAAACCAAATATGTATAAGCGTTTTTGTCTGACTCTTCCAGAATAATTAAAAAATTTTATTTTTTTTTAAAAGAGTTACGAATAAGACAAGAATAAAAACTAAGCATTTGATTTTGCTTAAAATTCCACCCTCTTACTCGATTTATTTAAATAAATTTAAGTTCAAAGGTAGCAAATTTTTAGAAAAAAGCAATGGCTTAGTTTTAATTCATAAAACTCAATATTCAATCCTGGTAACTGTTTTGAAAGCTCTTTTATGTCTCTCGAAATAATAGTTGAAAGATTTGCTAAGGGTCTTAGCGTTTTGCTGTTTCTCTTTTAGCAATAAGTTTCATACAAATCAAATTAAATTAAAAAACTTTTGTGTATATACATATGCAGTACATACATATATTTTTTTTAATAAACTAAAAATCAATAAAAAAATTAGACTAAAAAAAAATAATATTTATAAAATAATATATAAAATTATAATTTAAATCGTTCCCTCGACAGCCGGGTCTACGTAACCCGAACGACCCAAATTTATATCTGGCCAAGAATTGTCACTCCAGCAACACTCCCAAAAATTCTTTGGGAAATATGCATGCTGTTAAAACAACAACAACAGAGAATTTAAATAAAAGAGAGAAAAAGTTAAATTGTTAAAAAAAAGATTGATAAAATAAGCTTCTTAAAATTGATGAAATGAAAAAAAATTCTCTAAAACAATAAAAAACTTAATCTTAAAAAAAAACAATATGTTCCTGAAACTAAATGAAAAAAAAATATTTTTAAAATTATATCTAAAAATAAAAAGCAAATCCAATTAAAGTCAAATGAATGTAAAAAGGAAAAAAATAAGTTCCTAAAATATAAATGAAATTGAACAAATATATCTAAATGTAAAAATTGAAAGGAACTTTAAATAAAAAAACCGTTTCTAAAAATTAAACAAAATTAAAAAAATTTTCTTTTTAAAACAATATAATTTAAAAGTAAGTTAAAAAATAAATATAAATATAAATTGAAGGATATTAAAAAAATATATGGATGTATAGGTAGTGTATATATTTCCTCTTTAAGACAATAAAATTTATAATTAAAATGAAATAAAATTAAAAAAGTTCCTTAAGATTAACTAAAAAAAAATATTTTTCTCTGTAAAACAATGAATAAATTAAAAAAAAATTAAAAGAAAATTAGAAGAGAAATAAATTTCTAAAATCAAATGGATTATTTTTCCTTTTTAAAACAATAGTATCTAAAAATAAATTTCTGAGCGCCGAATATAGCGAAGATCTCAACTTCCCATAGGCATGCGTACTATCATACCTGCTCTGGCGTTATTTTTGATTTAAATTTTTTTTTTAATCGTTTTAATCTTCAGTTTTAATTTCCTAGATCATAAAAGATTTAAATCGGCCATAAAACGCAGTCCACATTATAACGGTTAAAAATTATGGAAAAAACAAACATTCAAAATAGCGATTACTTTTTATAAAAAATAAAAATTCTAAACAGCGATTATTTTTGATCGAAAAAAATTAAAACCTTAAGTAGCGATTACTTTTTTTATCAAAATGTAAAAAAGTAAAAGTAAAAATCTTAATAATTACTCTTTTTTTTTTGGTTTCGCAAAAATCGTTTTCCTAAAAATAGAAACACACAATTTTCATATTTCTTTTTATTACATTTTCTTTGTTTTCGTGAACATGCAATTTTTCTCGTAAATACTACATATACATGCATATTTTATTGCGTATGGTAGATAGCACAATACAAAGGTAAAATTAAATATTAATTACAAAAATAATATACGCCTTAAAATTTTAATAATAAAATTACAAACAATACATTTAAATGTATAATAATAATGCTAATTTAAAATTTCATAAAATACAATATTTATTTGTGATACAATTACATATATGTGTGACTATGCTAGTGAAGCTTAATATGTACATACATAAAGGTTTTTGAATTTTTATTAATTTATAAGGAGGAAAAACTCGTTTTTTCCCCAATTTCAGGGAACACCCCTATCATTTATGAATGTTTGTATGTAGTCCTTGTGTGGATGCAAAACTACTATTACTGGCAAATAGTAAAGCTTAATGAAATAACTGTTTAAAATTTTCTAAATAAATACACAAAAAAAAAAATGTAGTTGGAACTATTTTTTTTTTTTGCAAATTTATAATTGACACATCCAAAAGAGAATTCAAGCTACAATTGATTATGTTTGGAATTTAAGCATTTCGTTAACTGGCGGACAGATGAAAAAACTAGTGGCCTTATTCATAGAAAAAATAAAGTAGGTTTAAAGAGCTTTATAAAATGACGTTTTTATACATTTTTCACTTTATAACCTTTCTTTATAGCTACTTTAATTTTTATGAATAAGTTCATAAACATAAACATATATTTCACTTATAGAAACCTAAATGAACTGATAAGTATTTCATTATATAGCACATGCATTAAGCACTTGAAAAAGAAATATATTACAACATTAATTTTCACCTTTTGTCACGGATTATGACAATTGTGAAATTTTTTGTATTATAAGAAAAATGCATTGCTGTTATTATTTTAATATTTTTTTTTAGTAATTCGATAACAATTTATGCACTCATAAAGTTCGCTATGGCTTAAGGTTAAAAATTATATCGAATATTAAATAAAAAATATACGCATATGTATAACAAATTAACAACAAATTAAAAATCGCTTTCTATGCATTTCCATGTATGTATGTATATAAGTATGTAAGCGCATGTCATTTCATGTACATATGCATGTGTGCATTTTATTTTTTAGTTTTAGTAACTGTTGGACACACATACATACATACATTAAAAAAACGCTTAGCATTTAAATATCGTAATTTTCTACTTTTTTTTGCTTTAATTTAAATTAATTATAAAATATTTTTTTCTTATCTTGTAAATTTTTTCAAAAATTATAACTACTTTTTTGCTTCATCCTTTAAACGGTACTATGTGCTGCTCTTCATAATTCATTTCCGGTGCAGAAATCTGCCGAGTTCCTATAGATTTACGCTATCCGCTTTGAATTCACGCAGGTATGGATTGCATTGACCACCAATGCTGCTGCGTTCCTGCAAGGCTGCCGGTGCTGATTGTTGGTGTTGTAGTTCTTTGTGTTTTTCATGTTTTTCTTGCTGTTGTTGTTTCGAGTGATGTAAACGTTGACGGCGCATAATTACGGTGGTACTATTGGCGCCGCCGCCGCCGCCGCCGCTGCCAATTGTGGCTGTTGTGCTAGTGGCTGTCGGTGATGACAAGTTGGTGGCAATTGTTAGGCTCGCTGATGCCGCCACAGTATTGGCATTTAACCAGCTACATGTCGCGTCCGAATGCTCCTGATCCGGCGTCATTGAGATGTCGGATAGAATGCCGCTCTCTGCATGATGAAGATATGAGTGATTTTTTGACAGATAACCGTTAAAATTACACATATATATATATATATATATAAGTAGTAGACAAAAAGTAGGAGGGAAGTCATACATATATATGTATGTATGTAGACAAAGGAGGATGCAACAGTATATACAGCACAGTACAAATAAATAGTGACAAAGTTAGAAAAGTATATACAAGTTTGATTTTTTTTATATACAAGCAAGCAAAATATCAAAAACAACAACACAACCAAAAACAAAGGCCTGAGTACCAGGTACTCGTTAAATTTGAAGTGTAAACATCTGTGTACGGCTTGACAAAGCATTAAGCGCTTCAGTTACACACATCTGTAAATAGGTTAAGTTGAAAATTAAAATGATCCCGACCTAGGCCCAAAACTGCCCTGAAGTAGTACTGAAAAGGTCGTGATCTTGTCCCGGAAGGAACTCGGAAAAGAACTGAAACGCTCCCGTATGATCCCTTACTAGTCCCGAAATGTTTGGGAAATAGTGCTGAACTAGTTTTGAAATGGTCCTGAAATTGTGCTGAACTATCCCAAATGGTTCCAAAATAGTTGCGAAACGAGCCCGAACTAGTCCTGATGTAGTCGTGAACTAGTCCCGAGATGTTCCTGAAATATCTCCGAAATGGTCCTGAATCGGTTCCGAAATGTTGTAGAAATGATTTTGAACTAGTCCCGAAATGGTCTGAAATAGTTCTGAGCAGGTCCCAAAATTATCTTAAACAAGTCTTGAAACGGTTCCGAAATGTTCCATTATCAGTTCGTAAATGATCCCGACCTAGGCCAAAAATGATCCTAAAATAGTGCCGAAATGGTGCTGAATTTGTCCCAAAATTATTCTAAACTAGTCGCAAAATGTTCCTGATCTAGTTTCGAAATGGTCTAGATCCAGTTCCGAAAATGTCCTAAATAGTGGCCCCAAAATGACCCCAAACTAGTCACGAAATATTCCGAAAATAGTATTGAACTGAAATAGTTCCGAAATGGTCCTGAATAGGTCCCAAAATGGTGTCGAAATGATACCGAACTATTCCCGAAATGGTCCTAAAATAGTTCTGAACAGCTCCCGAAATGGTCGAAAAAAGTTGTGAGCTTATCCCGTAACTATGTATATCGAACAAGTCGTGAAACGGTCCCGTAATGGTCACTTTTTAATCTCAAAATAATCCCAAACTTGGCCTAAAATAGTACCGATATGGCCTTGAACTTGTCTCAAAATGATCTCCAATTAGCCTCGAAATGCCACAGAAAGCGAGTCCCAAAAAGGTCGTGAAAAATTTCTGAATAGCTCATGAAATTATCCTGAACTAGTCTCGAAAAGGTCCTACTATAGTCCTAAGCTAGAAGTGGTACTGAACTAACCCAGCAATATTCAATTGTAAACACAACAAGCAATTACAGATTTGCTGCTGGGTTGCACAGGAAGCAGTTACAAATTGTCTGCTGGGTTAACGCAAATTTTACTCCTACCGAGAGCTTAGATGTTTACACATCAATAATACATAAATATTTTACAAATAACTAATAATACTGATAATTAAAGTACAATTAACCAGCTCATTACACATATAAAAAGATGTGCGTATAACAACATATGTACATACAAACAGTATTATATAAAGGTATGCAAAAACAAATATAATAACTTAAAAAATTTATACATATATGTACATATCGCACACAATCTTCAAAGGTGACACAACTCAAACTAACACGTTCGTCAGAAAATGTGAAAAACTATATCTTACTTAGCACATGCTAATCATATGAACAAGGAAGACTTTACCTTAGTTTTTTCAAGAAATTATAACAAAAATTTGCTCCAGCCTTTGCTGCATAGTAAATAAAAGCTCTGTGTACATTTTTAGTGCATAATTTCAAAAATGCTAAATCTTGAGTTGCGCCATTTTTGAAGATCGTGTGCTATATGTATATTAGACACTTAAACAGAATAGGGATTAGTAAAAAATAACTCAACAGACAACAAAAACAGAAAACAAAAAACGACAACTTATACAAACAATACAATTAAAAAAAAAAAAAAATACTTAGAAAAAATAACTCAATTCAAGCTCAATACCCATCGATAGTTGACTGACAAGCGTTGTCGAGCGTTTCGAACGCGTCGTAGTGCCGTTGTTCGCGCCGCCATTTAAGCCACCTCCATTTACTCCACTGCCGCCGCGACCACTATGACCACTGCGCCCACTACGTCCACTACTGCCGCTACTACTCAGCGTATTTGTATTCGCGCCACTGCCACCATTTGATGTGGCCGCAGCTACGTTGCCGCCACCACCACCACTTAGCATTAATGTTTGCGTCTCATTGATTAGTTCGAGCGCATGATGACTGCTTATCGTGCCAGCTGCTGACTTGCCATGACAGCCGCCGCCGCCGCCGCCACCGCTGCTGCTGGTGCTGTCTACACGCTCATGGCCTGAGGAACTGCCAGTGCTGAGCGAGGAACTGCTTGTGCCACTTGACAGCGAACTCTCAGAGATGAGCGAATTGGGACGACGTGCGTTCTTTGTGCCATCCAAATGCAAACCGGCGAAGGAGTGTCGCAGCTTGGGTGCTGCAAGGAAGCGGTGATTTGATTAGAATTACATATATATGTATATAGAAATTTAAGGTGTACCACTTACCTTTGCCCAGTTGTGATATCGTTATGGAGCGATCATTGATTTGATTATTGCTCGGTCGTATGTCCAGGCAGGGTTTACTGCCAATACCCATCGAAGACATTTCGGCTAGGCGAATTTCTATAAAATAGAAAAGGGAGTAGGGAAAATTAGGAACTAAAAAGTTTTTTTTTAAATAAATATTTAACAAATTTTATACTAAACGCAAAAACTTTAACATAATTTTAGAAAAATTTGAAGAGTAATAGTTAACTAAGGGTTACATTTTGTGACAAAAGGGTTAACTCTTTACCAAAAACCATTTCGTTATTTTTTAGATCTAAAAAAAATTGTTGCTGTTGTAGCGGCTACTTAACCCTGCAATAAAAACTCAATCCTTCAGTCGATGTCCAGCTCTACTAAAGTTAGGCCCAGCAATCGAGTCTTCACAAGGAGGAGTCTAACCTGTCACAAGTTTTTCTTGTTCGGCGCTGGAACCGTTTAACGATTTCGGCCAAGTCCAATAGAGGACACTATGCTAACTGATGCCAATGGAAATGCCAAGTGAATAACCTGGCCTTTCCCTCGCAGAGGTGGCCTTCCTCTTTCAATACTACCACCAGCGTGGAATACTTTTAGGGAGAGAAACAATTTTCCAGCTACATTATTTAGATGGTATTTGTGCCAGAGAAACGCGGGTCTCTCATGACAGCTATACATTTGCAATGTGTGTTTATTGGCGGCATTTACAGGACTAGAATTCGTTTGTCTCACGGTTAATGGCTTTTATAGCCCGTCTGTACAACGTCCAATTCAGTGCCTTTTGTTCGTGGATCTGGCTTTCATCCATTAGTTCATAGCGAGTTTCCCAGTACCGTCGGAGAGGCCCGTGTTGCGGCTTGGTACTTTGCGGGGAATTGCGGTTCGCGGAGAAAAAAGTAGATCGTCCAAAGTAACCATTAGTAGTATTGCAGCCTGAACAACTTTTGTCCAAGTGATGATTGTCAAACACTTAGTCCGTATTCAAGGTTTTCAAACGGCCACACGCTACTGCCTTCATAAATTGCTAGGAATAGGACAGTTATCTGTCGATTAGAATCTCCTTTGTCAGCAGGCAAAGGTCGGCGTTCTCCGGAAGGTCTCGTTAACGTAGCCGCAACGACCATTATGTTTATCTGGCTAAGGAATGTCGCTTCGACACCTATTTATACCAAAAGTGTTTAAGGAATTCTTGTGCTTTTAAAACAACTCCGGATTGCAGGCTAAGTTAGTAATGGGATCATTCTCCTAGATTTCTACATATTAGAAATGATGAGAGTATTATTAGACAAGTTGGGGACCTTAGTGAAGTAGGCTAGTACCACTGGGTCCAGCTTTAGCATGCGTATTACTTATGAATTCCTAACTTTTGTTAAATAGTAGGCTATGATACATATATGTATATATATAATTTTCGACACCTATTTATCGATTTCGTTATCGAAATAATTATTTATCGGTATGATATCGATATTTCGAGCATTATGTTTATCGATAAATGTATTACAATAATCATGTTTGCGTTAATCGCTATTATTAGTGGAAAACCGATGCATTTTCGTACAACACTGATATCGATAGGTACATACGCATTTTCCAATATAGTCATCGATATATTGGATGATAAATTTTATATTCGTGCTGTCGATTTCACATTTTTTTGTTTAGATACTGCTAACGATACGTTCATCGATATTGGTTACCACAGCTGACTCATAACCGATATATGTAGTTTCTTGTAAACAATTTCCACTACTTTTGAGTTAAAGGCTATTTTTAAACTCGGAAGTAATTTACCAGAAACCAATCTCGAAAATCCACTAATCAACTTACCTCGATTTCGATTCGCTTGTTTCCATAATAACTTCGATATTTCCTCGGTCCAAGCATTTTTAATATCCTCCGACATACATTGCATTGTCCAAGTGTCGTCTGGCTTTCGTTTGCGGAACCAAATCTCAAATTTTGTTTTCGAATCACCAACATGCGCCGTCAAGCCAATATCCGATGTCTTAATGCTGTTCTTATAGATATATATGTCCAGGTTCTAAGTAACCATAAAAAGAATAAGATAGGTATATATATATAGGAAAATATTTTCTAAGTGTTCTCTTGTAACAACTCATTCTTACCTTCTGATCTGGAAACCGACGTGCCTTACTGAACAGCACCAGATCTTCGAAGAGAAATATTTGTCGCAGCGATTTTTTACCACCACGGCCCTGCCATACCAAAAATTCGTTTTGTCTCAGAAGGCGACCTTGCTCCTTCACATTTACATCGCAATCCCGTAGCGAATCCATAGCCAATAAATCGTTGCCGTGTCGCAGCTGAAATTTGACCATCTCTTCAGCGCGTTGCAATTCCTCGACATCGGCGGCGATTTCTTGGAGAGCAGCGCCCTAAATGGGGAGTTTGAGTGGGTTAGAGAAAGTAGGATTAAAATTATGGATCTTTTTTTAAAGGGTGGTAATTAGAAAGCTTTGCTCGTTTCAAATTTTAAACGTTTGAAGCTCGCTTCTATGTAACCATGTACAGATCTGTGAAAGCTCTAAAGTAAAGTTACAACCTTTTTCGATATGACATAAAAGCTCTATCGCATCGATAATGCTATAAAGCTTAAGTGAAAGTTTGCTTACCTCAACAGCATTACACGCTTTCACCAACTGTTGCAAAAGCAAAGCATATTTTCCCATACGCTGCACAGGTTTCAGCAAATATGAGGCCAAGTCCATTTTGTCATTCAATTCGAATTGTTTAGACTGTAAACAGAAAATTTAAAAATAAAGAGCTTGCTATGAGGGCACCTTAAATTAACGATTATTTCCTGACTTCGGTAATAATAAACCACAAGTTACAAAAAATTTAATAACACAAAAAGAAAAAAATAGCTAACAAAAGAATTTTGAAAAACGTATTAAATAAAAAAAGAGAAAAAAGAGTATGAAATTAAATAAAAAACATTATCAATAACAAAAAAAAAAAAAAAAATAAAGTGATATATGTATACAAAAATAAATAATATATAGCACAAAAAAAAGAAATAAAGTATAATATATCAAGAAACATGTAAATAAAATAAAAGAAAACAATAAAATAAAAATCAAAATAAAAAAGATAGAAAATAAATAAAAATTAAATTTATCAAAAAATACATACAAGAAATAAAAAAATTAAATAAAAGTAAGAAATGAAAGCAAATAAATTCAAATTAAAGTAAACACAGAATAAAAAATAAAACAAGTTATAGTCTGTACTTGTACAAGAGAAAAATGAAATACAAATACAACAACATAATAGAAAACGAAATAGAAAGAAAGAAAATAAAATAAATAAATAAAAAAAATTAAAAAAAAAATGAGGTGAAAGAAAAAACAAAATATAATAATGAAAGAACAATAGAATAAAATCGTTTAACCAAAAAATAAAAATAAAGTGAAATTAGAAATAAAATAAATAAAAAATAATAAAATACAGTAAAATAAAAAAGAAAGTAAATTTAATCAAGGTAAAATAAATGCAAAAAATAAAATGAAAATTTGTGAATAAAATAAACAAAAATTATGTTAAATAAAAAATAAATATTAAAAAAAATGTAATTAAATAAAAAACTCAAATAAATATAAATATATAAAACAAACTAAATTCAAGAAAAAAAATAAAAACAAATAAATTAAATTAATTGAAATGGCATGAATAAAATTAAACGAAAAATTTGATAAAATTTACTTAAAGAAATAAAAAATCAAAATATGCTGATAGCCCAGCCCTTGCCGCTGGTTCGTTTTGAATTATTTATAATTATATTTTTAATAAATAAATAATAAAACAAAAAAAGTTCTAGCATTTTGATTGATAATAATCTTTTCTTTGTAGATTTTTTCAATCATATTTGCGTCTTTAAAACAACTTTGTGCACACTAGGGATGGGTAAATTCGATATTCAAAGCTTCGATATTAGAATTTTGATCGAATTTTAGCTCCAAAATAGCGAATTTTTGAAATCGAATTTTGTGGTGCTAAAATTGTAAAGAAAATCGAATTTACTCTTCAGTATTTACAATCATTTTGTATTTTTTTATTGATACTTTCGTACTTAAAAAAATAGATGATAAATTTGATACATTTCTCGATTTTTTCTGAAATTTTTTTACGACGCATTTTTTTTTTTGTCTTAATATAATTTGGTTGTGAAGCTAAGAATAAGCTACGAATAATTAATTACATTAGTATAATTTCAATTCAATCACTGTATCGATTTTTGTTATAATTCTTACAAACAACCTTTAAAATTTTCAGTAAAAAAAAAAAAAAAAAATTCGAATACATCGAATTTCGTTTCGAATAATTGAATGGTTAGGAAATGTTCGAAATTCGAAAAAAAACGAATTTCAACTCCCTACAACCCAACCCTAGTGCACACATATTTTGATCAAAAAGGTTTGAATAAAAAAAAAAAATAACGACCGAGGCACGAAAATAAGCTTATAAAATTCCCGATTTTGAGTAATTTTAATTTTAACGAAAAAAATTTCCATATAAACGCTAAATCAATGGCTAATTTTATAATAAATTTTTTATTGAGTATAATAAGTAATTATGTTCACACCATATCTACCTTAAAAAATGCGGTGCCATATTCGCTCATCAGCGTATCACTTTTCGGTTTATTTTTATTATAAAGCGCATACAAGTAAAATTTCGATTCCATTTCTAAGAAGGCGCTGCCAATCTTCAACGGATTACGTTCGTAACGTTCCAGTTCGTTGAGAAAATGCCATTTGTGGAATTCGAAGATCTTCTCAATGTTGCCGAAAATGACATTACGTTGGCCGCGTAACGGCTGTGGTATGTCTTCGCGCAACAACTCGTCAACATAATTTTCAATAACATAATTTAACGAGTGTACATAGTCGCGTTCAGTGCCAATCATTTCACGCATGATCAATAGAAGCGTTCTAGAAAATCCAAGGGAAGAGCAACACAAGGTTAGCGCGCTTAATGAAATTTATGTATGTATGTATGTATATTTAAAAGTAGTTAAGTAAGTATGTATGTACGCACTTTTGTATTTTCGGATCCAAACAACTCAGTTCTTCCAGCTTCGACAATTCCAAACTCGAGGCGTGGTATTGTAGGTGTGCATTTGCCTCCATGGGCGAATGTATATCATTGTAACGCTTAACGGGTCGTTCGTAGCATTCAAAGTCCAATTCATCGCTGTTGTGGCTAAAATTATTGTATATACCTCTTGTACTTGTACCTTGTAATACCTTTTAGACAATAATTGCATTCAACAACACCCCACTCTCAACTTACCTCTTGCCATACAAATTTGCCGCCTCATTGAGACTCTGACATGAGCATACCCGCGTCAATTTGGGATTTCCTTCGCAGCGTTCGCAGCCGCCCACACCAGAGTCGGCAATTTTCGATTGCTCCTCCTCGCCATCCTCCAGCTCCAACTCTTCACCATCCACATCCAGCATTTCATCCATACCCTCCATATTGCGACTTTCGCGCCAACACTGACACGTCTGCCCATCGAAAGAACCAATACCCGAACTGGAGCGATGACTCAAACGATTCATGCGCGGCACTGGTGTGCTAGTGATGACGGCCACGTGTTGTAGTTGCTGCTGCAACTGCTGCTGTTTGCTCAAATTGCTGCTGTGGCGACTATTGCTGAGGTTGAGACTATTTGGTTTGTTGTTGTTGGTTGGCGCATCACTGCACACAACTTGGCGGCTGATATTTTCAGTTGTCTCTGTCGCTGACTGCTCAATGTTGCTGTTTTCTTCTTGCCCCAATTGTTGCTGTTGCTGTAGGCGGTACTTTTCTAGCAGCAGCGTAGCACCAGTCACTTCGGCCAGTCGCTGCATCTCCTGCTGCACATGTGGTTCGAGATTGTGTACCGTCAGCAGGTGTTGCAGCCGTGATGCAGCCTCTATGCGTTCGCGCGCCGACTCTAGTTTTTCGGCGAAGCAGTCGAGCGCTGATTTCAGATTGACGGCGCTGTCATGCAGCGCCTCCACGTTGACTGCGGCATC